GTGGCAAAATTAAATATTTTCAGAAGAAAATATATTTTTTGATACCTATCCACCCATCAACCAACAATTAAAAAGTATCTAAAAAATAAAAAATATTTTCCTAAATTCGTAGTTATGAATTTAAATTATTTCCCATCCACCCAATGACACTCATCACTCTTAAAAAACATGAGAGGCAGCCGTCTCTCAATTACCCTCATTGCCACACTACTGTCTGATACCATAAAATATACTATGTAACATTCAAATAATCATATATTATTCTTTAATTTAATGTACACGCAGCATATTTATTTATTTAATTTTTAATATGGTTAACATTTGAATATGTTGGTGGATAGAACAGATAGATACTGCCTACTTGAAAAACTAACAATTATTCCTTAATTTTATTGCTTAAATTGCCACAGCCAATCGATATAAAATTGAATAAGCCTCGAGTCTCAAGTGTGATATTATAAGTAATAATCAATTGCAAACATAATTTTTTATTTTCACAATTACAACAAAATACAATTTTCATTGATTTTATTTTATCCTAAAATGAGTGAAAGAGGTGGTCTATGAGTCATGATTATTCAAGTGGCTATCAGTAGTTAAGTGGTTTTGTCCCATATGTATATTAATTAATCGTTAGTATGGTAATGTCTTTCTTTAATTGTTCATGTTAAATCACTACATGGAGGCCGAACTGTTTTCACATTGCTTAACCTTCATACAAAGTGTTGTAATGTCTAATATAAAATAAAACAACAAGGAAAATATACAACTAAAATACTAAACTATTACTTACTCATTCATAGGATATACATTTTGATATGGTGTGTCATCCATTACAACTAATGAATTATTATACAATGGTTTCTTGAAAAATAATACTTTTTCTAATGGATTTCTTAATGGACATCCGCAGTTTAACCAAGTAGCTGTAATGCCAAATTCAATACCAAATTGTTTTTGCAATTCATTCTGAAGATTTTGTTTTAAATTTTCAACATCAATAGACTTGTTGTAAATTTCTTTGTTAATCTTTAAAAATCATTTAAAAGTAATATAATTACAAGTATTAATTTTAATAAATAGTAATAAAATTATTTTCTAGATGTCTATTAGTTTATAATTCTTTAATATTTATATTATAATTTATAAATCTCAAAATTTTTGTTTTCTTATCTATAACATAATTATTAATTAGACACCAACGGATAAAATATCTTGTGAGAATTTTTTTAGTTTTTCACAGAGTTGCAAGTTGAAACAACAATTTAAACCATACATTGAACGTTATTTCTATTATTTTTTCTCAACAACACAATTTATAGTAACAAACTGTGTAGTTTTATGATTATTTATCATAATTATAAGATTTTTCTGTATTAAATTTATCCCTTACAGATATGAAATCTAAAACAAATATTAATTTAAAATTATACTCACAAATATTAAATTATAAGAACCAATAAATTTATATAGATGTCTTGTATGTAATCTATTGATTAAACTTTTAGCTTCTTCCAATTTTGGATCATTGCTATATTGAATATCACACAATATGTGGTCAGTTAAACGAGACATTGCTTCAATATTTGTATGAGCTTCATTTAAGCCAAACCTAAAAAAATATATATTCTTAGCTTAATTTACTTATTTTTATTATAAAATATGTTTAAATAAATTATGAGAATAATAAATATATACATGTATTTTATTATGTGATAGTTATAATAAATTCAAGTAAACTTAGGATAATTATGAATTTTTACGTACTTAAATATTTTTTTTTTAGTTTTACTTATATAGATCAAACAAACTTAGACCTTGATTATGTGTATTTAATACATCAAATGTACAATTATTTATATAAGTTTATTAATTTAATTTTAATAATTATAAATGTAAAGTATTATAATGAAATGTATAAATATCTAAATTAATTATTTATCCATTTTACCAACAATTTCAAATTTATAAGCTCATAATTAATAATTGTTAATAAAATATAATGGAATTTTCCTTTAAAATAAAACTTAACATTACACAATTAAATAATATAATTTTTCTATAGTCTATAAAAAAATTAAATTATTGAACAAAACTTACTTGGCACCAGATGGAATTTGTATAGTAAAATAATTTTCAGCTTTTAATAACACATCAATCCACCTAAAATAGAAAAATAAATTAATATTTTAATTACAGTGATACAGAATTTAAGTTATTCTATAAAATAAATTCAATAAATCATAAATATATGAACAAAATTATCAAACGGTGTCCACATTTACAATATACTAAAAATTAAATAAACTCATATGTTATAAATCATAATTATTTATGAATGTCATTTTAATTGTACAAAATTAATTTTATTAAGCATTTAATTTGCATACATCAATTCTGTGTTTTGAACTGCTGTGTGTTGATAAGCTCTCAGATGTAAATCTGATCTCACTCTAAACATGTCATATATGTTTCTAGCCTCTTTATTTCTGAATGCTATAACTTGTTTTGGTTGGTTTGAATTAGGATCTAAAACTACTCTAGAAAACTGCATCAATCTTTTATAATCAAATGATATGCTTAAATTTAAACAATTTCCATCACGTAAAAAGTAATCCCATTTATCAACATCAATGCCATTATCTTTATTTGATACAACCTGAAAATAAATACACTTGGTTAATAATAATTAATTATAATTTTAATAAATTAATTAAAAACTAATTTACCTGATATAAGAAATGGTTTTCTACTAATAACTTTCCTTCTCCTCTAATAAATTCACAAATTAATTCAACATGATACTCCACATTAAGTCCATATTTTTTAAGTTCTTTTTCTAAATCATACTTCTGTATAATATACTTCAGCATTTCAGTTGAACTTTCTTCATGCTTAAATAATATGTATCAATAAGCAATTGATATAATTTTAATTAAAAAAAAAAATATGTACCTATTGTACCTACAACTTTGTATATTATATACTATTTGATTAACAAAAAAATGTATATAAGATTAATTTTATTTGACAAAATTTTATAACAGGTATGATACAATTATTCTTATTTGTTATAAGTACTATTTATTTGGCATACCTAGTAACCTAACCTTTAAATATCTTTAATATAAAACTAAAAAAAAAAAAGACTATTTCATAATACATTACTTAGTTCATACTACTATAAATTATTGATGTAAAGCAAAAAAAATTAATTTAAAAAAAAAGAAAACATTAAAAACATTAAAATGTTTGTATTTTTATGAGGTACTATAGATATTAGGTATATAAAAATGTATTTTTATTTTTACTGAACCAATGTTATATTATTATTATTAATTATATTATTACAAACTTTTGTACCTTCCAGTCGACTCCAGATGCTTTAAGATATCTTTCCCAACTATGAGACAAAGGACCATGCCCAAGATCATGACAAAGACCTGCTAATTCAACACACAATTTTTCTTCTGAAGAAACATTAATATCATCACCTGAATTTCGACATAAAGATTCAATCATTTGTCCAGCTAAATAACAAACACTGAAAGCAGTTATTTTAAAAAAATATATCAAATAAATGAAAAAATATTTATAGACATTCCGTATTATAGGCATTCAAATTAAACACACTATTGGCCATTTTCCAAATTGTACAGAAGTGCATAAACAATATTAAATTGTAAGTTTCTTGTGAGTTGTGATCATATTACTCAATTTTTATAGCATACATTCTTAATTTTTACATCAAATAAAGTTACATTAATTGTTAAAACTTAAAAAATCTATATTTTAGACAATACAGTAAAATATTCAATTTAAAAGAGAATAATCTACTATACTGTATACTTAATTCAAATTAAACCAATTTAAGCATGAATGTAGAAGTACCAATTGCCAATAATGAGAATGGATATGCCTGATGTCTTTTTATACTTTTATTCTAAATGAAGTATAAACCTTTTAATTAAATGCCCACAATACATATGTAATTATGAATAAAGGGGTAATTTTGAGAATAGATAATACTTAACTTATAAATGTAAAATTTAAATTAATTACCCAATAGAATGTTCAAATCGATTAACGCTTGCACAGGGGTAAACTAAATATGTTGTACCAAGCTGTTTGATGTTCCGCAATCTTTGAAATTCAGGTGTGTCAATGAATTTCACGCATAGTGGATGAAGCAAAATGTGTCCGTGTATATTGTCATTGAAAACTTTGCCATAATCCGGACAAGACACAATCATCGACATGACAACAGCAATGTTCTTTAAACTTCTACAAAACGTATAAAATATCTTACCTGAAACACTATGTACGTTTGATTAAAAATAAAAATAAAATTACATCCAATTCTGAACGCAGAGAAATACTGACCTTTACAGTTCGAGTTTCGTGCCACGAATAAAAAGAATAAATGAACAAAACGACTTCGAGACGTTAAATACCGAAATAGTGGAAATACCTATGACGGCTGACAATTGATAAGAGTATTTCAAATTTGGAGGACAATTCCACGTTGTGATAAATACAATCTATATGATAAAAATATAGGTAACCAAATCACAGTCATAAACTAAATTCTTTTACCTGAGACCGTGGTCCAAGGATTGTAGCTGATACGAGAAAAAAATCAAGTTATATTTATATACTTTTATGGATTGTACAAAAATAATGTAGAAAGTGTTCAACGACTTTAACACCAATGCTAATTGCTATTTAAACCTCTTTGTCATGTACAGCTGTATTTCTCACTTAAATAATAAAATATAACAATGACGCATGTTATAAAAATAATAATGATATTTTGTCAACCTACTACCACAGTTTCAGATATTGCATCGTGCCATCTCCGGAACCCATAACCCATTATTTATTGGTCACTGAGTAATCACTACCTACCTACCTACTATTAATTCTTTATTAGCAATAATACCCCTACTCATCAATCGATTCAGTAATCACTAATCAGTCGGAATGTGCATAATGCACTTATAACATTATGTTCTGCATTTTCGTAATTTTTTATTTAACCAATGGCCGCCTTTTGGAGTAGGTAGTAATTATGTTTCTAATTTCAAATTCAATATATTTTCTGGTAGAAAATATGTAGATCTAGTTTATAGTTATAGTACTTAGAGCAGCGTTTCTCAAACTGTGGGTCGTCGGTCAATTATCGCGGTGAGTCGCGAACAATTTTTTAAATTATACAGATTCCAAGAAATGTATGTTAAATTAATATTAAGTATATCATTATTAATAAAAGTACATTAGTAAAAATACATTGATTATAAACCTATAGAATAATAAAAATAATAATTTAAACCTAATAAACAAATTTTGTTAAAAAAATTGAAATATATTATATTATATTATTTTAAATTAAATTTTTTTTTTTATTTAACTACTTTTTGAAAAGTGAAACCATGTGGGCCACTAAAGATTTTTCGGGGGAAATTTGGGTCGCGGTTCTAAAAAGATTAAGAACCGCTGACTTAGAGAGTCAAAAGTAAAAATTGACCAGAACTTAAATTAATAATTGGTAAAAGCAAAAACCAATTAGTAATATACCTACTAATATGAGAATTTTTACAAAAAAAACCAGTTTTTGTTTGGTGGAATTTCGATATAATCGATTTTCTTATCTAATTTTATTTTAAAAACGAATAACCTCGAAACTAAAATACCTACTTAACATTTTCAACAGATGTTTAGTAAAGTATTTAGTATGCATAACACAATTTTTAAAAGCCTTTTTTGAGCTATTGACATTTAGACATTAAAAATGTTTGATATTTTTTCCCTATAATTATTGATAAAATAATTTACGCTTGATAAAATAATTATACATTCATCTATAACTTTTTATGAGCGTTTGAAGTTAAAATTTTGACGAAATTGAATATTTGAACGGAGAAAAATGATTTTAATTATTATTTGTGAAAATTCAAAGATATTCGTAAGAATTTGAAACTTTTACGAATCAATCAGTGTCGTAATTACAGTGAAGAATTAGGTCCCCCCATAACTTTTCAAAAAACTTATCTACGGCATTTATTTACTTACTTAACTCTACATCAATGGTATATTTTATAGAAATAATAAAAATAACTCGATTCTCGTATTTTATAACTAAGTTAATATTACTTCGTAATAAGCACTACTACGCAAATATATTATTATATGGTAGTTGTTTTGTGATAGAAAAATAAACTATTGAGCGGTCGAGTTTAATTTTATCATAAATCGACGATATAGATATATTAGCAACGTTTTACTATAAATTATAATGCATATTCAATACTGTGTAATAAATAATAATAATAGGTTGTAGGTATACCTATATGCTCTAAAATTAACTAATCTTTATCATACATTTACTGATTTAGTACAATTTTATTCTCCCATGGCATGTGTGATGTCTAATTGTCTAAATGTCGAAATTGTGTACTAGATTTTCTAATAAAGTCATATACTTCATTAATTATCTCCCCCTAACAATGCTATGCAGTTTACTCATGTTAATATTTTCACCAGAATACGTATTTTTAACCGTAAAAAAAGTGAAATCATGTTTAAAAAACACATTGTTTGTCATAAATAAATAAATAAATAATTAAATTAAATTAAATATTCGATGTTGTTTTATGACTTTTTCTTGTAGAGATTAACTTTTGAGTGTAATTCTTTACTTATTCATTTTACAGAATCGATTGCTTTTGCTATGTTAATTGCTCATTAAAATGTTAAATTTGACCATGAAAAAGTACTTAGTAAACTAACAATAGCTGCGCAAAATAAAGTAAGTAAATATTTTATTATGGTGAAAATTTTGTGTAAGTATTAATTAAGTGTACTACCTATTTACAGCGTTAAATTTAATTGGTGTTAATAAATTAAAATTAAAAGGTTTTTAATATTTATGTTTATATAATATATTTTTAATGATATTTAAACATAATATTGTCGTATTTTATTTGTTCAACACTATAATATATAAAATATGAAGACAATGGTTTCAATAAAAATATTTGTAATACAGAAATATACTTTTCAATTTGTATTTAAACATTTCGTTTTATGTTGACACTCGGCAGTTCGGCACTCCTACCGTATAGTTCCATTTATATAAGGGCGCTGGATTTTTATTAGTCCCGAGCGTCAAATATCCTAAATCCGGTACTGCCTATTTGTAAATGTGAATATCTAAATATTATGTAATTATTTGTTTACGTGTATGTATACATGTATTTAAATTATACATATTACAATGACTGTATAATTATTATAATGTATTGAGAGGAGATACTCATAATACACACAAAAATTTTTTTAGAGCATAATAGGTAAAATTTACAAGAATATCATCCCTTACTTCCACAAATATGATAAAATTTCGTCACTAGTCTATTGATTTATTCTTTTATAATTTATACCAATATTAAAAAGATGAAAAATTTGTTCCTACTACCTATATTTGAATGTGAAATCTCGGACTTAAGGAATTATTAATGGATTGATTTTAATAAAAATTATATCAGTAGATTCCTTAAGATTAGGAAGATATATTTTTCAACGCCTATGTGGATTTGAGTTTCTTACATAGGTATTTCAGGTATTTGTATTTATTATTTTGTATAGTCAAGCCCATTTCAAGGATTTTCGAAATCAGGAACAAATTAATGTAATGGCCTTTCGATCACCATACGTAATATAATATAATATAAAAACATACTGAGATTTACATAAGTTTAATTTTTTTTTTTTTTTATTATCAAGCTATAATATATACCACGAATTTATTCGCATTTTATAATGTTTTGTGACCTATGGTAGTGTAGTATGTTACGTCAGTACTTACTTAAAAGTTAGTAAGGTAAAATATTAATATAATTTTATATTATAATTATTATATAATATATACGATTTGCTACACACAAACATTAATTCAACTTACAGTATTAGTATTACTAATAGACAATACCAAAATAAATAATAAAACATCTTCAGAAAATAGATATATAAGAAAACTCAGATTTAAAAAAAAAAATTATTTCACAAGTATCAAAAACAAAAATCGTCACTGTTGGATGGCTTCATTTTATTATGGGTACTTATTCGTGCTAACTATTTTATCCACATTATATATTTATTGTAAAAATTATCTACTGATTGAGAATACTTATTGAAAATTAAAAAATTGTACATAAATCTTTCGTTTAAGAAACAAAAAAAAAAATCTTTCGTTCAGAATCATTTGTTAATGAATTAAAATTTAACACATCCATTAGGTACTTCGAATTATTTTAACGACCTACAATGAAGTACTCGTAATATAAATTTCAATTTTTCTTTATTATATTTTTATATTGTATATAAGTCTAGGGCTCGGAAGTTGATGCATTTTGCATTTTTTTTTGGAACTTTTTAGACGATGCTCTCCTGGCCACAAATCTGTTTCGTTAGCATGTGAATCTAAATAACTAATTTTTATTTTGCATTTTTTGGTGTTTATTACTTTTTAAGTCATTTTTTGAGATTTTTAGGTCATTTTCCCACATTTTTAGTTATTTTTACTGATTTCACACTAGTTCATTTCTTATCGTTTCTTGTTGACCATTATGCCGATAACTTAAACCACAGACATTTATAAAACAAATATTTTTAATTTTTTAATTTTCCTATTTTAAGGACATTTTTGTCATTTTTATGTCATATTTTGAATTTTATAGTAACATAGAGTAAAATATTTAAAAAAAATGTATTTTTATTAATATAAAACTAATATTTGTAATTTTTTTAGGACATTTTTTGCCATTTTTATGGTCATTTTTTTATTGCTTTTAAGGTCATCAACTTCCGAGTCCTATATATAACTATGTCAAATAATATATACTATTATTTCGTTCTCAATATATTTAAGCGCAGTCTGACTTAACTGTCTTAATGAATTTTTTTTTTTAATTATCTACATTATGAATACCAACATTGAAAAAAAGTTACAAAATATATATGATCACTGTTATTTAAATATTAAGTACTAAAGTGTATAAAACTATATATTAACTATTATTAGTTATTCATAGTCTCATAGGTATCATTTAATATATCGATTAACTTTGCTAAAAATAATAGATTATATTCCTAAAATGTTCCACATGTATTTTCATATTTAAATTTAATAAATTCGTTTAATTACAAAAAGAAAAAAACAGTTTACTCATTTTAATGCGATACCTACATAAAACCGGTATAGCTAGGCAGGAGAGATTTGATAGAAATCAGTAGGCATCATAGCTACCATGACACACCAAAAGTGTTCTAACGAAAACTACATTTTTGGAAAAACACATGAGTGTAAATGTTATATAATATAAAAAATTAAAAATACCAAATATTCATCATTAGAAACTAATAATTTTACAAATAATATTTTTTATTTGTAGAAGTTAAAATTAACATCTACAACTGATAACCGCATGTGTGCACATAATATGTAAGTTAGGATGGTTAAGACATTTGAAAACGGTCCACACATAATTTAAAAAAAGTTATATCATAATTTACCAAGTTATTAATCTTAAATATTGAAAAATATTTGTTATAATTTTTGGTAAATTGAGCCCCAAAAAATAAAGAAAGTTATCAGTTCAAATAAAACAATTTTATTTTTGTATAATGGATGTATTATCTATAATGTAATAATCTTAAGTTTTTATTCCATATTATCATATTACAATAATTGTTGTCTAGTAATAATTAATACATAAATTAGATGTCTATTATAATCATATGTAAACCTACAACATTTTGTGTAGATTTGATGGAGTAGGAGGTACATTGTTCATTTAAATGAAACTATAACAATTATACAACTTTCATCAATCACTGATATTATAAGTTTCATGATAATGTCCAGGATAATTTGTAGTTATAACTTATATTTTCATTAAGATCAATCAGCTTTATGACAAAAAAAAAAAAAAAAAAAAAATGTTTATTTTATTATATTCATATAGGTTAGGTATATTTAGGTATAAAATATACAGACAAAAAAAAAAATTGCCATTTAATCATATCATAACTCATAAGTAAATATTTTATCTTGGGCACATAGCGTGTCTTCCTCCATCAATAAAAACTGAATCGCCTGTCGTAAAACTAGCATCATCACTAGCTAAAAATGCAATTGCTTTAGCAACTTCTTCAACAGTGCCTGGTCTTCCTAACGCGTGTGTGAACTTGGTTTTTTCTAAAAATGTTGAATAATCTTCTTGACTCATTCCTTGTCTTGTTAAAAGATTTGTAACTACAACTCCTGGGTTTACACTGTTGACACGAACTCCTTTTGGTGCCAATTCCAATGCCACACATCTAGTAAATTGATCCACTGCAGCTTTTGACATACAGTATGCCAATACATTAGGGAACGATCTGGTTCCATTTACACTAGATACATTAACTATATTACCTTTAGTCTTCACCAAGTGTGGAACAGCCAACATGGTCAAATGATAAATGGATCTTACATTCGCATTCATAACCCGATCATACTGATCAAGAGATGTAGACTCAATAGATCCATTTTCTAAAATGCCTGCATTATTTACTAAAACGTCCAGTTGGTTATAATGAGATATAGTATAATCCAAAATTCTTTTAGTATCATCTTCATTTGTCAGATCTCCAGTAACCACAAGTGGTTTTAGTGAACAACTTTTTTCACATTGATCAGCTACATTCTGTAGGTTGATAAGATTGCGTCCAGTAAGTGCTAGTTTTGCTCCCAATTTGGAAAAATGTATTGCAGTTGCTGCGCCAATTCCTGAACTGGCACCAGTAATCAATACTATTTTACTATGAAAACTCATTTTACTATAATACAGTTACTACACAAACTAAAAATTTGCGAAGATTAAAGAAAATTAATTGTCACTTTTAATCATCAATAATTTAAATTCAAGTTTTAATATCGTAGACACATTCAGTAGTTAGATATTTCAAACGTAGTATTTAATTTTATCAGTTTTAATAAAAAACTTTTATCCGTTTATCGTAATCAAACTATATACAAACTATACAGGAAGTTGAAATAATTGCTTAAGTTTAAAAAGACACAATATATAATAGTACTATTATACTAAATCAAATATAACATTTATTATAATTCATTCCCGTGATTTATACAGCATTACCGTGTATAGTATTAATTAGTATAGTGTATAATACATAGTTGAATTGTTAAATAGCACTTATGTACTTAACAGCTGCTAATGTTCTGATAATCTAAATTCTGATCATAGTCCATAGACTAGAGTTATATTACTCTATGATTCTGGTACAGGTTGTTGTTTTATTAATTTTTATCATTCATTTATCAAGCATTTTAACAAACTTTTCACGGTTAGTGGTTATAGTGAGGTAAATTAAGATTGATGATAACGATAAGTAATGTCTTATTCATGATTATTGATTATTAATATTTTTAAATTATTTTTCTCCATTTTTATTTTTTTAGTGACGCTATAAAAGAAAGGCAACCCCAATAATAAAAAAAAAAAAAAAACTGGAAATTTAAAATATAACATTTTATGAAATTTTTTCAATAATTTATGAAATAAAAGAAAAAATTTAAGCTATTCTTGCATTAAAAATGGTAGGTAACACTTAAAATAAAATTACATGATCTTTCAAATAAAAACAAAGGTTTAAAAGTACTATGATAAATGCATTACTATTATGCAAATAAGTTCAAATTAATGACATTTTCCAAAACCAAGATGTAGATAAAATACATTTAATTCAATTTTTGTTTATTTTATTACAATCCAAGAGATTAAGACTCGAAAATAGTTCATTCAAATATGCCCAAACAAATTCGGTTGATATCAAATAATTGTTTAAGCTTCATAAAAAATAAACGTCACAGCTACACGGAGAAAAAAAACTGAAGTAACATAGTTTTTAATTTTAAATATTTTAGTAGATACTAAATAGAATTTGAAAAATAAATTAACTTGTTCAGAATTTTACTAAAGAGTTAATTTTTGTATAGGTACACTAGTTAAAAGTTGTTTAATTTGTTTTAATATATTTGAATATCTAATTAATTCGTAAACTATTGATAATAATAATTTAAAAATAAAAATTCTGCATTTTTTCCCATATCAATAGATCAAATAATTAAAAACTTTAAATTCAGAACGGAGCGATGGATGTATTGATTTTACAATGATGTGTATATTTTTATATTTGTTGTACACAATACGATAAGTACTTATGTATAGTAGATTTTTAATATGGACTTTGGATAGAAAATTTGAACTAGTTTTTACTTTAAGCCAGTGATTCCCAATGTGGGCGGTACCATCTTTAAGATTTGAAAATGTTATACAAAGTTCTTTAAAAGTTTTTAAATCTATATAAAAAATATAAAATTCTGCCGAAAAATCAAATTTATTTTTATGGGCATTTCAATCTCAAATATTTATGATATTAGATATTCACCCATGAAATAATTATTTATCTTCAAACAATTTTTGATATTTTGTTGTGTTTCATTAAAACTAATAATAAATATATATTTTTTTATTAATAAAGAATGGACTAATGGAGTGAGTATAGACAATTTATGAAGATAATTATCAAAATATCGAATGAATCAAACTAAGTTGGCTAACATAAGAAATAAAGTAAAAATATTTCTACTCATTAGCTCATCAATATATTTAAAGAATAACAAAAGAAAAAGAATTTAAAAAAATTGTTACAAACTTTGAGGAAAAGTTAAAAGAGTAAAGGCAAACATACCGACTCGAGGTCTCAAAATCTGGTTCTATATTCAAATAGAATACGGGTTATTATGCTAGGCAAGTTTTAAAATTTTATATAACATTCGTACTAGTTTTTTAGCAGAATTTCTTGGGCATCGCGAGGTCAAACGCGTGACTTGTATCTTTTAGGTATGTTATCATGTGAAAAAAAATGTGGAAAATATTTACCAATTTATTCATAACGGTTTCTAAAATATCTACATTTAACTTATAAGAATTTTTATTAAAGAACTACGTATGAACAACTAAAAAATCTTGTTTTATTTTATTGTGTGAAAATATAGTGTTTCATAAAAAAAAAATAAAAATTTGGTGATCTTAATATTGTAAATTGTTATTGGTCTTATGTGTTTAAATATAAATTGTTATAAGTGTAATGTTATTAAATCACATCATCAACTTCTTAAATATACCTACACGTGGTATTTATTTCAAACGGCTAAAATAGTAATAGATAAACAATTATATGACTAAGAAGTCATAATAAATGTACATTTCTAAAAAAGTTATTTATCTCTATTCATATGTTCATAGTATTAAATGTTGTTTCAAGGGATAGCTTGTAGGAACGATTAAAAATAAAAAATACATAATAGTTTAATAGTGAAGATAAATTATATTATACTCTGCAATTTTAAGTTTAAGCTTATGCATTGCTACAGTATAAAATATACAAAATAAATGTGTAGGTAATACAAATTTCACATTATTTTTTGTTCCAAATTTTTGAATTTTAACTTAGAGCCCCTAAAAGTATCGATTACAAGATACAATTTGCTACCAAAAACCACTCTCAAAGTGAAGATTGAAATATTTCTTTCATTGTAAAACGTGTTAACATTCACATCTCATACACACAAAACTAAAAAAATTAACACAATTGTAATATCAATACAACTCTAAAACTTACAGATAGAAAATTTACTAATTTTATTTTTAACAACAAAGTAGTTAGTTAATTTTTTTGATTTTGACAAAAATTTTTAAAATTTTATCTTCAAACGGTTTCTTACTCAAATAGATAAAATTCTCTATCAAAATCCATCCCTAAGATTTAGAATCTGTTTTACTAAACTAAAAGATGATGACTGATTAAAAAAAAAATATATACTGTATATTTGTTCATCCGAGTATGAATAAAATTAAAAACTATTAAATACAAACATATTAATAAATAAGTTAGATATTTAATATGTATGATATAATTACAATAAAACACATGTATAAATAATTTATAATTTTAATTATGAATTCACTATACTTACCAATTACCATACAATACTGGATTATTATTGATAAAGCCGCACTTTATATAATATACACATTTGTTTTTAAATTGTTATATTAATGAGTAACGACAATTATTATATAAAACGTGAATAGTTTGACATTCTAACCAAGATTAAATAATATATATTGTGGAATAAATTTTAAGCCTATTTCTGGTTCAATAAGTTAATGGAAAATCAAGAAATTAATTTTTTAAATAGTTGACAAATATGCGCACAAAGATATTTTTTTTTCAAATGTGTTACCAATTATTAGCTATTATTAGAAATTAGAATTTTAATGAAGTTGATGTAGTATAAAAGTATAAAACATTGTTTTTATTCACACTAATGAAACTTTACAAGTAGTTGGATTTTGGTCCAAAATGAAAAGGAAATTAAATTTAAGTCATTCAACAAAATAAATGCTGCTTTTAAATGGACAAAAAATAATAATGCTGGGTAGGATAGTTAAAAAGCTGATACGTTAAAAATATTATTTATACACCAAATCAGAAAACCAAAAATATTATTTATCCACACGCAATATGCAAAATTTTAGCATTAGGCAACCAAATTTAACATGAGAGTGCATTTTAAAGAGAAACAAACTGCAGTATAATACATAAACCATTACTAATAAAGTTTAATGGGTTGAAAAGGACATAATTTTTTAAACAATATTTTGTAATACATGTATTAAAACATTCAATACAACTGTAATCAGAACAAAAAGACATGTATTACTACCTAGCAAAATTGTAAAAGCACAAAAAAATAAACATTGATAAATAATAGTAAAAATAAAAAATGAATAAATCACAACAATTTATTATTGCACTTCAGTAAACCACATTTAAATCTCATTAGAAAAATTACTTTCCTAATACAATAATAATAGTGTAAACAAAAATTATTAGAAAATCATAAATCTAACAGAAGAATGTAAAAATTTAAAATATGATTAGGACATTATAAATTAAAATTCTGGACCAGCAAGAATAGTTTCAAATTTTAAATTATAACAAACTAAGCCAATTATTCTAAACATGATTTTAATATAAAAAATATAGTATAAGTATCAATACATCTGAGTAAACATAAAAAATAAATGTTACCAGATGAAAACTTAAAAGATTATAGATATTCTTAGAATTATACAACCTTACATTGTAGTATAACTTAACTTAAATACTGGAAGGTAAAGAAATAATGAGGAAAACTAATTTTAAATAAAATAATTATACCTATTTTTTTTTTTTTATTCTTTTCTTGTAACCTTTTCCAAACCAGCCTGCAGTAACTTTGGCTTTTTCTATAACTTCATCATTCTTATCAGCTATGTCCTCAGTTTTCAGTTCATTTTCATCTTCTTCATCAGTGTCATCATCACAACACAGACAATTAGCTACATCTTCTTTGAATTTTGACTCATATTTATGATAAAATAGACATTTAGTTGAACCATAAACTGGATGACAAAATGTACAATATCGACTTATTGAAACATCTGTTTTTTTAATATCATCTTTATCTTCACTAATATCTTTTTTCTTTTTTTTTAAATTGTTTGTCAGCTTTTTTTCTATTTGTAGTTTTTCAACTGCAGCCAATCCTATACATGCTTGATATACAAAGTTCTTGTAAAACTGATCAACAGGCGTTGGAGATAATCCTAAAGTTTCCATATTATTGATAAAAAATGGATTTAAGTATGGTACAATTGGTTCAACCAATGATAGCATATTGCGACCTTCCAATGAATTTGGATCTACACCCTCAATAAAAGGCCTCCAAAAATTACTTAAGCTTGGAACAATATCCATACTTGAACACGACGGAGAATTAATTGACTCACTTTGATCAGCTATGGATGTATTATTTTCTAATTTTACTAAACTGAGATCAACTGGTTGAATTAGGTCTTTAGATCCTGAACACATTTTGGTATTATTTTTATTGTTACTTATATCTAATTCTATTTTTTCACATTTTGTTATTGTACTTTCGGTTTTTTGAACATCATCAGTTGGAACAGCTAAAACAGGATGTACTGTTGTATGTTCTTCAGCTGCTACCAACATTGTGGCATGATGAAATATAGGATCAAGACAACGTTGATACTTAGGAATGTCTAAATTCAATATTGACATTACTTTTTTCATAATTTCATCACATTTACCTGGAACATCATTTTACCTATTATATTTTTAATATCAAATAAAAACAATTATTTTTATACCATTTATTTTTAAAGTAGCTTGATCATCCTTAGGAGTCCATTGAAGATTCACAATGTATAACTTTGGTCTTTTTTTAGCTGGTCTATCCATCGACCAAAGCCATGGATATTTTTTCAGAACCTAATTATACATGTTTAAAGAGTTATTATTGTTTAATACTTAGCGTTTTATTACATTAAAATCATTAAATGATTTATTTTTAGTTCACTGGTTAAAAAAAAAATCTGGAATTATATATATATATTATTATTATTATTAACTTATGTAAATATATATTTATACATTAATTAAAACTAGTAACAAAATATAATATAAAAAAAGAATCTTCACAATAATTTATTAAGTATATAATTCCATTCCTTTTTTTGTCAGATAACCATTAAAATAAACAAAATTCAATCATTATAAATATTACCCTTAAGCTGGATCCTAAACACAAAATTACATCAGTTTTCTCAGCATGTTTACAAGCTGTTGACCAATTAATTGGCCACTGAAGTTTACCACGCTCTCCAAAATGAACAATTGTATCTTTTAATGGTTTGTGACAAGCATAACATAACCTTAATGTTTTATGATTAAATCTTGCTGTATGTTCAGTCACATCAAACATTCGTAAATAATGCCTATTTGGCTTACAATTGACGCATACCTATAAATTAATATTTAATTTTAATTGATATATTTAAAAATATAATGAAAACATAATAATTAAAATTACAAATACCTCAATAAACATATCACCATGAACTTCTGACAATGCTGGTCTTGGTAGACCACTTCTTAAATGCAACCCATCACAATTTTGAGAAACAACATGTCCAAGTAATCCTTCACGATATAATCGATATAATGCCATATGTGTTAATGTAGGTTCTGCTTGACTTAAGTCGTGACATCTAAATAAATAATGAATATAATAGTATAAATATGGCTATGCATTTTTTTAGAATATTAATGATAATTAATGTTCAGTTTATATTATTAAAAACATCATAGAAGATAAAAGTAGATTCAATAAAATATTTAGTAAAACTAAAGAAATGTAAATGAAAAGACAATACTAAAAAAAATAAACAATTAATATGTAGACAAAGAGTTACACACATAATCACAGTTTGTACTTAGTAATTAAAAGAATAATTAAAATAAACTAATAAATCTTAAAATGTGCATGATAATAAGCTCTTTTATCAAGATTTAAGCACAGACATTGAAAAGACAAAACATCATGAACATTACTTCCTCATAAAGGCCTGAATAAGGTAAATAATACATCATTACTAATCGGTGAAAATAATTAATATTTAAACTTAGTAATTTACTGGTTCTATCTGGGGGCATATCTAAAGATTTCATTTTTTATTAATTATTTTTTTATACTTATTATTAGGTACACTAAATTTTTGATTTTTTATAAAATTTTCTTGAAATAAAATTAATTGATGAACTTTAAAGTAATATTATTCAAAATTATCTGAAAAAAAGGATAATAGTGTCATAAGGGATCTATTATAATTCTTGTGATTTACCTAAACTAAGCCCACAAATTTATAAATGTCGATTTATAATATGAAATATAATTTATTAGATATATGTAGAACTATAAAATTATTCTTTTTCAACCAGTTTTAAATTGACTATTGGTACTATAGCGTGTAAAGTGTATTACAGATAAACATATATTTACTCATAGTTCAGCATTTTTAGTGTATATTTGATTTGTGTTTATAAATCAGCATTCTAATTATTACTAATTTATATATTAATTAATGTAATATATTATATTATTATGCATTATAATACATACTATGTACTATTATGAAATTGAATGAACTAATTTCTGAAAATTTCTGATCAAATTGTCAAGTACTATAATAAGAATATTGAAAAAGAAATAAAATATATATTTTGTTTTAAAATAAATTTCACAATATTATTTTAATAATGCAAAAAAAAAAACTAGAATTTGTTATAGTTTTATGTTAATTACACACCCAATGTCTTTTCCTTGATCTAATAATGTCCATATTCCATTTGAGCCTCTATAATCAGGTATTTTAGCTGCAGTACTTATTCCTGCACCAGTATAAACTACTAAATTGGATGCAGACGAAATAGCTTTTGCAAGATCTTCACATTTTTTATCTAGTACTTCAGCTGGATCTTCAAATTCTTGACATCGCTCTTTTAATTTTTTTTGTCTATCTAATCTAAAAAATTAAATTGATAAATATATATTAATTTTATTAATAAATTATTAAATAATCCATACTATTGAATTTAAAATATTTAATTTAAAACAAGAAAAAAGCACAGTATTTTTGCACAATTATCATATTACTTTTAATACAAATTAGAAATATAATACCACACACTATATATAATGTAAAAACTATGAGACTAATTTAAAATGCTCACTTTATTAAATAAAATTACAATAAAAAGAATTACATAAAAAAAAATAAAAAAAAATACCTTTGAGATATCTTTTGTACTGTATCTTTACATGTATTAAGAATTTCTTTGTCATCAATTGTTCGCTCAGATAATGGCTTTTGAATGATTTCTAATATCTGTAAATAATCAATATAGATTAAAATATAATATACAATATATAGTATACATAATAATACAGTAAAATCTCCCTTAATGGGTACCTCCTAATAGAGGACGATTTTTCATGACAGGGCACATTTTACTAATTATTTGTAAGAAAACCTAGAGACACTCTAAATATCTGAAATTTTTATGACTAGATTTTAAAAATTTTTATCCTAAATATTATCTTTAGTATATTTTATTACAATGTACATTTTACACATTATTATACTATTATAATTTATCTATTCTATCATAGGAAATGGCTCTCATTTATCTAATGAAATGTTTATTTTATTTTTAAATATTTAATAATATTATTTAAAAAAATAATATTTTGTTTATTTTTATCAAAATATTACTACAAACGAGGTACAGTAACTAATTTTGTTTTAAATAATAATACATATTAGTACATAAATATGTATAAATATACATATGTGTATTATTTTTTGGATGTATTTTAATATTGTTCATTTATTTCAGTTACCTCCTTTCCCTTTTATATAAAGCAAGTACAATTTTAGTAAACCTATTTAAATATTTCACAGTATACATTATAATTAATACAATATAGTTCACAATTACTAATTTTTAACTTTCCCAAATAAATGTACCTAAGTAAATAGATATCATACAGTGGTATGAAGTGTATATTAAATCCAGCAGTCAGCTATAAATTAATTCACTAATCATGAGAGAACTTAATGTGTATCTATGATGTAATTAGTGTTTATATTATTAAGTGATTGGTATGTCCGCAGAAGGCTGAAATCAACTTTCAAAAAAAAACAAAAAAAAAAATAAATAAATAGGAACTTTTGGTACTTGTCTAATATGCTACCTACCGTAAAATTATATCCACCAAAAAACTGTATGCGAGTAGTATGCAAGTATGCTACCTACCGTAGTTATTTTTATTTTATTTTATTGCGGGAAAGTACATTTAAGTCATTACGATAAATAACATATTTTAACAGTTGTACAAAATTATAGCATAATAGCCATTATGATATCTGACCCACCAAGACCCATGATAACTTACTTTTAAACATATTATTTTAGTCTATGTTGTGTCTGAGTTGTGTTAGCATATGTGTTTTAATCATAGCGAGTTTTACTTTTTATTTCTTTATTTTAAAATAAACAAAAATGAACAAATCAATGCGCAATTTGTAAGGACATATAATATGTATTGAGGAAACATGTGTTAATTATCTTCAAGAAAAAAACTTGCTCCCAGAACTTGATAGTTGTTCCAAATTAAAAGATGGTGTTATTAAAATAATGGTGTACATTAAAAGAATTTAAAAAAAAAATAATCATAAAAGAACCTCAAATGATGATTTATTAAAAACTACTTATTTACGAGGTCAAAAAAAAGTTGCCAAACTTATCACTCTTTAAGAAAAAATTATCCTTTTTTTACATATTAATAAATTATTATTAATCAGTAAACTTGTTTTGATAGGTATCATACTACACCGATAAAGTAGTGGTAGGTAGCATATTAGACGACTACCGAAACTCTTTAGTTTTGATTGACTGACTACAATAATATTAGTTGAGCATATTAATTTCTTAAAACATGATTTTAAATATGTAATATTTGGTGATAAATTAGTGATATGGACAATAGATATTTAGAAATTGATTTTAGAAAAGTTGTTGGAAATATTTAACAAAGAATAATTTTAAATATTTCATGAAAATAATTTGGTACTAATATGTCAAAACTTTCATTTGATGTTATTCTTTTACTAATGAAAAAAAAAAAAAATCCAAATAAAAATTAGTTCTAAGACAAAACATTTTCAGGGCTATGTTCCCTGTTATTCGCTAATATTATGCAATTGCCCTTACTTTTTTATTCGACGCATTTCTCTCTGTTTTCATGCAAAACGTTACGTTCGAAGCCGCTTTCCGTTTTCTGAACTTTAATTTACATACTCTTTGATTATCCATTACATACAAGAATTTCGCTGTTCACACGACCGATCGACCTTATAAAATATCAATCACATTGATTCAATCGACGACTTTTTCGATCACTATGGTGATCACACGGCGGTGGCGGCGGCGGCGTTGCGACGGGACATAACCCATCGTTGACTATGCATGTACGCATCAATAACAGGACTGCAGACTCTCGATCATTCGGTTATACGTTTATGACATAATATAAATCGTTTTGCACCGAAATATAAAATGAAATGACAAAACGTGAAATGATCGATTATAAACGAAACCAAACTTTTTCAGGACGTCGACGAAACGTGTGAACAGTCGCGGTTTACACTGTTTACAAACCTTCGGGTTTCGGCTAAGTAGTAAGTTCAGTCACTCAACATATTCCGATAATTCACTCGGTTTCGACAGGTTTTCTTCGCAACAAGTGACGACGTGATTTTAATTAAAATTTAATTCACGATAATTAGTGTAAAATTGATGATAGACGGTGTTGTCGGTGTGTCCGAACAGCGAACAGCATACTATCAAACATTAGTATCGTATCGCATAGCAGATGTTTATTATTATTATTGTTTTTTATTATTATTTTGTTCTTGCAGTGAGTGGTGAGTGGTGTACTGGTCTGTCGGTGAGTAGCGACAGGAGAGGGTGACAGCGTTTGCGGGACACGGTGAAAACATTGAAAACCGATGGTAGGTTATGACTGGCACTGATAGCACAAAATTGAAAGTAAAAAATACTACTCGTCATAATCAATTAGAAAAACGCTAAATTTCGGCGCCTCGGTGATGATTAGGGCGTTTACACGAGGCTACTTATTAAATCCATACAGTAATTACTAATTAATACAATATTATATTTTTTTATTAAATTATCTTATCAGTTATCATAATATTTGTTTTTAAAATAATAACCCGTATGGGCGGTATAGCTGTAAATGCTGTAATGTTGCATAATATGAATTATACTAATAACCGTTGACTTTAAAGTTTATATCAGATTTTTATTATTAATATTTAATATTCTTTTGTGTATTAAATTTTTTCGATTATAAGCGTAATTTAACGACTAATTCGAATAGGTATACGGCATTAAGCACAAAATTATATCAATATGACCGATCCTCATAGTTCAAATACAAACGTTTATCAAGGTAAAAATAATTATATAAATCTACAAGTCTACGTTATTTGATGGCGTGATTCAGTGATTTGCCATCGACTAATCAGATTTCAAAATTCTGTTTGATTTTTTTTTTAAGGTGGTGGTCATTTTGAATTTTCTTCCGAAAAAAATTGGGGTGTAGAACAAGAAGATTGTAGAATATTTGATTCTATTGATATGAAACATTTAGCTACTAGTATAGCTAGTATACCATTTAATATACAACATGACATACCTGTCGAACTATTTACTGTAGGTAACTTTTAAATATGTATAAATCTTTTAATAATTAATTTAAATGTAGGCGGAGCAATTGGAAGAATTTGAAGTAGAATCATCTCTTGCTTTGAGCCGACATACATGTATGTAAATAATATATTTAATACAAAGTCTTTAATTTTAAAATACATTTCATAACTTTTACTTATATTAATTATTATTATAGTTAAATGTATAAGTCTATAAATATATTATATATATACATATTTTTTAGCACTATGCAATTCAAAATTATTAAGTATTAAAAATGTCTTGCAAACTTCCACTGAGAGTAATAATCAAGCATCCACAGACACAAATAAGTTGTTCTTAAATAATTATTCAAATTCAGGTAATATGAATTCATAGGTCATAAACTATCAATAAAATTAATTAGTTTACTACATTAATATCCATTATGTATTTAATTTTATGTCTTTAGGCAATTTTCTGCAATTATTATGTAAAAATTAATAATAATAAAGGCCTAAACTTTAAATATTAATTTGATTGGAATGATTAAGTTTCTATCTTCTAATTGCATGTCATTTTTATTAATCAATAGTTTTATGTGCTGAGCAGAACCTAAATTATTGATTCTTTAAAGTGTTATTGTTATACAAATATTAATCAAATCCTAATTAAATATTATCTAAATTTTAAATAACATCATGTTGTACTTTAATGATAAAATTAGTTGTTTTTTATTTTTGGAATTATTAAAAAAATCAATCAAATCAATTTAGAAAGACTCAGTATAGTGTTACTTTATACCTAACTACCCTATCTATCTTTCCTTTGATGTTAATAATATACATTTTTGTTTTAAAATTTTTCATATATTAGTTTAAACAAATATTATGATTTGAAATATTTCAGAAGTTGAAAATGTTCCATTTGGTTGTGAAATTCAATCTAATATAGAACTAGAGAATATATTAGGAAATAGGAAACCTTTATTTAATATACTACAAGATGAAATAAATACAGTTACTAGTATAAGTATGATAAGAATTTTAATATTTATTTTTATTATAACAAAAAATATTTGATATTCTTATAATTTTTTTTTTTTTTTTGTAGATAATAGTGAAGCTGACTCAATCATAGTTGAAAATCAAAAACTACCCAATAAAGATGATAATAAAATCGAAATAATGAATCAAAATTCAGGTCATTGGCTTGATTCAATGTTCGATAGTGATGAATAAAAATTTAAACTGTATTTTTCAATCATTAATATATTTTAAATATTTAATTCTGTATTTTTATTTTGTAAGTATAAATATTAAAACAGGGCTATTTTAATTTTACAATTGAAATAGATTCAAAAACCATTATGTAAAAATATTGTAAATATATGTTGATGAGTAATCATGTGTTTTAAAAAAAATAATATCTAGTAATGTTAAATAAGCACACTTAATATTTTATTATTTTATATAATAAAATACTGTACGCATATAAGACCTTTTGTTTTAATTGTAAAAATGGACGTATATTTTATGTAAATAAAAATCATTCTAATAGTCAAATTAATGATTTTTTTTGTAAGCACTAAAGATAAGCATAAATATTAAATTAGTATAAATAATTAGTTAACCTAGATTACTTAAAACATTTACAAAAATTATATAAGTAGAACTCTATAATGTTCAGTCTAACGCAATTAACAACAATATTAATATCACATACATTAACTACTTTTAACCTAACATCAACTAACATGAGAAATAATTGATATTTCTTATTTTAGAACGGAGAGTTCATACCAAGTTTAGTTCCAAAATCTAATCTTGCTCTTTTTTGGTAACGTACATTCAACCTAGAACAAAAATATTACATATAATAATAAAAACAATATTGGTAAAAGTGTATATCATAAACAAACCTTATCTCTTGCCAATGAACAATCTCGTTAACAATGAAAACCAGGAACAAAGATACAAACCCAATAATGAAGGTCAATATAGATAGTTTTGAAATACTAATGTTATTTTCAATACTTTCAAAGTATTCATAATGAACTGTGTATGTCCATTGAACTAAAATACTGTTTTCAAAGATTTAATAAGACATCTTTGTTATTTAATTAACTTAATATATTTTTAAACTTACATGAATAATGAAGTGAACAAATAAGGTTTATTTAAATGTATCGTTCGTTTCCAAAGTAAATAATCCCGATGAACAAAACTTAGAGATATGGTAACTGTAGTACAACATTAATAAATAATTAATATTTCATTCATTCTTAAATTAAAAGTTTTTATTAGTAATTACCATAATGCATCACAAGGAATAGCAACATTAATCTTTGTACACTGATAATAGTGGGCTCAAATTTTGACCAACCACCCCATTCGGTTTCTTTAGGATCAGGGTATACATACCAACATTGTTGAATTTCAACGGTTGAATTATTATTAGTAGTTGATTTAATCAAATCACAAGCTTGACTTAGTGACCATATAAACATCAACACCATATTTATCATAACAGGTAAGAATTTCAGGCCATAAAACCACATTACATAATAAGACAACTATAATATTTAATCATACATATAATGTAGTTTAGTATTAAAAATTTAAATAATTTAACTTACCTCAGATGTAATTGAACATTGATTTTTTCCAGTTGGCTTTTGCATAACTTCGGGATCTGTTGGACCTCCAACCAAAGATACTGATAGTAATGGCACAACAATACATGTAAGCCATAATACTTGGCCTAAAGATAAAATTAATTTTCTTAATTAAGATAGAATAAACATTACACAAATAGCTTTTTGATTACATTTTTAAAACATTAAAATATAAACTATAATATTAAAGTAATTAAATAAAAATCACAATTAAAACTGTTATAATAGTTTGATTGTCCATATAGCTGCCAAGAACAGTACAAAAAATGGTTATGCTTCATAGACCACTGACTAATTATTCTCAAAAAGACAGTGGTTATATTGCATTGAATTTTAAATTATCCATAGTTAAAGCACTTTTTTTTGCTGTAGTAATGGTTTCTCAGTGGCATAGGGATGAAAATTGTTATTTAATATACATTATATCATTAGAGCAAACCATGTTCATAGCTGTAGTACAGTCAACAAGTATACAAAATTAATTTTAAAAAAAAACTAAAGCTAATCTACAAGGAAATTAACACTAAGTTAAAAATTATTTTAATGCAATAACAATTACAATAAACATAATTTAAAAAAAAAGCTTTTGTGGTAGACTATATAAATTATAAAATTAAAAAGTAACTAAATTACAAACCGACTGATAAAATAGGAGGTAATACAAGAGCAATTGCAAGTAGTTGAAGAAAACTAAGAGAAACCATGCAACTAGTCCAAAATTGAACACAGTTCCATATTCCTTGCATTAAATATCTCCCCTGTGAAATAAAATAAAATTAAGTCATTGAACTAGGGATTATTTCAATAAAATATTTTAACTTTTTTTAAAATCAATTACTTCCATAATAAGATGATATACTGGTAATGGATCTTGACGATTAAGTGAAAGACAACAAGGAAGAGAATTCAATAATTCAGAGAGACCCACTGGAGATATTGGAGCATCTATTGGACTTGGTTGTTGCATGATGCTAATTCGCTGACACACTTGTGGATAGATTGGCTCAATAGCAAGACTATAGTTAATATAACAGCAAATACAATTACAGGAACATGACATTTCATGTATGTTATATGTGGATAGTTAAAAATCAAATTCCAAAGAAATATAGATATGTATCAATATTAATCAGTTTTTAGATTCTAGGTGTAATGAGTAAGCTAAGTCTCAGAATTATTTTTCATACAAAAGTAGTCATAGTATTCTTATATTTTTATACGAGTATAATAAAGTTTATAAACTAAAATTGAAAAAAGAATGAAATTATTCTGTTTAAAATCAAACGTTATCTAAAGCAATAATTTTTGAGTTTATATTTAAAATAACCATATTATATAATTTCCTGTGTCAAGGTGAGCAATCTTAAATGATTATTTAATTAATGAATTGCTGATGGAAAAACTTTTTTATTATACTGCACATTATATAATATACAAAACAATAAAATGTATTTGTCCTACAATTTTAAATTAAATATTTACATTTATATTTGCTACTTTGTTGTAATTACTAAGAATTTGTATGAAAATTAATCAAACTAAAAATATTTTTTTTCGATAATAAAATTAATATGTGAGATTATAATTTTGTTTTCAATTACATAAAAATTAACAATCAAGCTATAATATATTCAAAATTTGTTAAGTTAAATTTAATTGATTTTTTAAAAATAATTTTCTGTATTAATATATCATACATTTTATTGTTAATTAAATTAGAGATAAGACAATTTTAAACAATTTCTATAATATTTCAGTCACAATTAAAATTTTGTAAATAATATATTTATGTCTGTTGGCTTTTTTCATTGGAGTATTAAAGCCAATCTTGAAATGATAACTATTAATAATGGCAATAGTTTAAGTTAAATAATAAATAACAATAATTTTAATAAGTATAAAAAAAAAATGTCAGGGTAAAATCTGACAGGCAAAAGTTTAAAAATGTAAATAGATAGATACATTAAAATTATAAATTGTTAAAAAAAGATGCAAAATATTTGATTGTATAATATAATGTATGTGTGAAACAAGACAAGAATAATGTGCATTTATTTACTATTATAAAAAATAAATGAAATGTGCAAATAAAATATTCATTTTCCTATTTGAAGGAAAAAATATTTTTGTTTAATTTGAAGTATTTATACTTTACATTTTGCAATATAAAGACATATTTTTACAAATTAACTGAGGAAATGAAGACAGCATCTGCATATATTAAATAAATACCTAATTACCTTGCATCAGCTTGCATAAATATACCAATATTTTCAGCATTCGGAGATGATCCCAGTACACAAACAACTTCTCCATACTGCTGCATTATGGATATCATTTCTTTAGTGGCCTCAGGAGTGCAATCAGTGAATAATGAAACTAAAAGTGGAACATTATCTATACATTCTAGATGAGGTCGAATGTTCTCAATACCACGAGGCAGTTTGGCCTATACACAATATTATCATTTAAAATAGGTAGCAAAGTGAAAAATTATTTATAGGAATATTTACTCTATTATACATATCAAAATTAACAGGAGCACTTTGGTCAGTACTATCAGACATGCAGCTTAATGAAGGCCATTCTTCTCCATTTTTTTCTATTTCAATTACATTGCTGTTATCATTCATAAGAGTATCCCTTAAAAAATATTTATGATTCATAAACAATTCAAATAATATAAATAAAATTTATAACACTAATATACTTTTGAATCAGCATTGGTTTTATAATTTTTTCTCCATCATGTTCTATTGTAACTTGTGCGTAATCCATATTCAAAGCAGTTGGTGCTGACATACTAATTGTACGAGACATATTTAGAGGCGCACTGAAAAAATATACTATTTAAAAATATTTTATCTAAAAATTTATTTTGAAAATTAAAATTACCAATTTATATTGAGGGGAGGAAAACAGTCAGCCGATAAATTATGTTCATATTCAGCGAGTTTTTTCTTCGACTGACTAGTAGATGTTAGTGGTATCAAAAAGCTAGTTTCATCATCACAAGTAGCTGCACCCTCACTCGATTCAAAATCAAAATACAAACACTCAAATTTACGTGCTAATAGTTATAAAAATCAAATAGTGTATTTAAACAACAATTAGATAGATTAGTATTACAAACATCAACACACTTCTAAAACAATAATCATTAAAAATATTAGTACCTAGGGTCAAGACGAGTTCTTGTTTGAGTATCACCTAATAAAGAAATATGACAATTCCATCCACTCTCCAGGCCCATTTTCTCAGAAAAAACCCTAGACCGAAGTTCATTTTCTTTACTAAAGTGAACAAATCGTATACAAGCTGTTTCTAATAGCTCAATCAATTGAACCTAAACAATTTAATGTACATATATATATGTAAAGATTGCATTTATTTATTTAATATACATATAAAAAAACTAAAATTTAATTTATTTATAAAATTAATTTTTACCATATCATATTGAGGTTGATACTGCATGGTAACCATTCCTAAAAATATTTGATTACACTGTGTTTCAAAACAACAATTTACATCTTTTGAGTTATACTCATGGCAATCACCAAATAGTAATGAATCTGAAATATAAATTAAATTTAACATCTAATATTCAAAGA